TTGTCCTCGCTGCCCAGGTCATTCTGGGCTGGGCCACAGCTATTTCTTTCCTGAGAACCCAAAGTGCAGATAGGCTTGTGTTGCCGAGAAGGGACGTCCTGCATGTATGGTCTTTTGGGATTAGCTCGAAGGGATTGTTTGGGGGCTTCTGTCGTCACTGTGTTCGGTTTCTTACCGCAGGTGTTGCTCTGTCAGTGAATAACCCTGTGGGCCTGTCATGCATTTGGCATGAAGTGGCTGACAGCATGAAAAAGAGAGTTACCTCTTGGTTCCTGCGTGATCTTCAACAAGTTATTTAATGTCTCTAAGCCCAGTTTCCTCACCAGTTAAAAATAACAATGATATGACAGTACCACCAACCATGTAGGATTTCTGTGAGTATTAAGTAAGAGAAAGCACATAAGACTCTTAACACAATGCCTTTCACATAATAAACACTCAGTAAGTATTAGCTGCTAGTGCTAATGACATAATAATATTGTTATTAATAATGTTAATGTCATGTTAAACTAAAAATAAGTTAGAAACCAAAATAATGTTTATAAAGTGTCTAATTAAGTCCATGGCACATAATGGGCTTGATAGATATATTAATACATTATAAAGAGGAAGAGAAGGGAGAAGGAGATGGAGCATCTTTCAGTTGTTGGAAACTTACATTGCAGTCATGATTACCGCATTCATCATAAGATAGTAATAACAGTAATAGTGATGATAATAATACTGAGTATGTACTGTGTGCCAGGAATTATGCCAAACACATTATATACAGTAACTCCTTTAATAGGAGCAACGCATGAGGCAGATAATGATGTAATCTCCATTATAGAGGTAAGAAAACTGAAGCTCAGGAACATTAAATACTTTGACCAAGGTCACACATTTAGCAAGTAGGAATTACAAACAGGGTTTTGAACTCAGGTAGCAAGAGGTTTTTTTTGTTTTGCTTTGTTTTTTTTAATTCTCACCTGAGAACATATTTGTTTATTGATTTGAGAGAGAGGGAGAGAGAGACAGACATTGATCAGTTGCCTTCTGTGCATGCCCCGGTCAGGACTCGAACCCACAACGTTTTGCTGTGCAGGAAGACACTGCAACCAATTAAGCAACATGGTCAGGGCAACAGTAACAGTTCCGAGGTTGGAGAATCAGGCACAAGCCAGATCTTTAGGGCCCCACAGATCATCAGGCATTGAATGGCTGACATGATGGCATGTGCTTTTTAAAAGGATCACTGTGTGGCTGTTAACCAGATCTAGAAGCTGAACAGACTAAGCTGGTCAGAAGCCCAGAGAATCATCGCTTTACATAGGTTGTTCTATGGCCCCCGCATTAGGCAGGGCTGCTGTGCTCCCAACTCTACGAGGCACCTTTTCATTGTAATCTCCATAAATGGAATCCCCCAGAACTGAAAAAGTGGAGGCTTAGTTGGTGGTCAGCTTTACTTTTAGATAGTGTGGTTATAAGGCAAGGGGAAGGATCAAGGAACAACCAGAAGCATCTGTGTAATGATACATGGTAGTGTCCCCTTACCTGTTGGTATATGTTCCAAGATCCCCAGTGGATACCTGACACTGCAAATAATACCAAACCCTACACATCCTATATATATACACACACCTTTTCACATAAAGTAAGCTCTTTACTGTTTCACGGTGGCATATCTCAATGACCAGCATCCCTACTGCTGTGCTTTGGGGCCATTATTAAGTAAAGGGTGACTTGGACACAAGCACTGCAGTAGTGTGAGTTTATCTGATATCCCAGGTGGCTGCTAAGTGACTAACGGGCAGATACCATCTACAGCGCGGAGACACTGGAAAACGGGGTGATTCATGTCCCGGGCCGGACAGCAGGACAGCACAAGATTTCATTCCACTGCGCAGAATGGTAGACAGTTTAAAACTTATGAATTGTTTATTTCTGGGGGGTTTTTTTTAAGCATTTTCAGACTGTGGTTGACCACAAGTAACTGAAATCTCAGCAAAACTGCTGATAAGGGAGAGACCAAGTTTTGAGTAGATTTCTAGCCCAGATGATTGCTTACCTTAACCAAAGTGAAAAATATAGATTCCCCTTGTCAACCCAGGAATCATGGAAGTTTCCAGTCAATAGCCAAGCATGCCAGTTACCAATGGGAGAGGCTGCTGGCAATTTTCATTCAACAGAGGAATGACAGGACATTTGATGAGTCTGCTAAACTTGTCCTCCGTTTCCTCTTTTGTGTGACTGTCTATCGAAGGTATGATCCAGTTAACAATATAATATTTTTCAGGTCACTCGTTCACTCTTAGGACCGTCACATCCTCCTTTTGAAATCTTTGGGCAAGTTGAGTTAATGACAAGGAAGTGGCAGAGCTTTTATGCCATAGTATGTCATTAAACTGTAAGAAGCAATTTAAGCAAAAAGCATTTTTGTGTTAAATTCAGGACCTACCTGTTTTTATAATTGTATGACTAATTCTTTCCTGAGGCATCAGAAGTAAACTTTTTAGAACTAATGCTATCTTGTGAAAGAATCAAATACTGTAGATGTAGATATAATACCTTAGATGATATTGCTGAGACTGTCTCCCAGGACATCCTCTCCTGGCATCTCAGAGATTAAACTTTCAGGACAGATGGTTGTCATTTCCAGAACATTTCCGGTCTAACCTGCTATGTGCAGCAGCCCAGTTTTTTTCTTTTCTTTTTTTTTTAATCATTCTGAAAGTTAAGGAATTCCTTCCTCTATTCAACTAACATCTCTAAGGCTTTAATTTAAACTGATTTCCCCATATTTGGCCTTCTCTGGACATGGAGAAGAACTGGTCAGCATCTTCCACATACAAGGGCCTTTAATCAAATTATTCCATATTCGCCTTTTCTTCAGGCTGCACAATTCCACTTCCTTTAACCTTTCCACACAGGATTTATTCTCCATCCCTTTAATCATTTTGGTTGGTCTTTCCCTAGACTGTCCCTGGAGAGTCTTTAATTCCCTTCATGTAATTTTAAGAAGTTATTTTATCTAAAAAGTCTGAAGCCTTCTCATTTTGGTGTGCGGTCAGTTCAGATTTTGGGCATCCTGTCAAACAGGTGTACTCTGCTTAGTGATTTTTCTTTTCAACACCCTCAGTTATCTTAATCCGAGTGGGGCACATTTGGACAGAGTAAACCATCCAATTTTTAAAATGTTTTCTGCTCTTATTGCCTTTCTTCTTTCACTATAAATAAAGAATATCTGAAGGAAGAATGGGGAGAAAAGGCTAATACTACATAGCAACAATATGAGTTGTTAGAAGAAAAGTTGTGTGAGAAGTAGAGAATTTTAGTAGCAGAAATAATGTGCTACTTTTGCTTTTAGGCTGGTTGAGAGACCATCTGGTTCTATTACCTTGATGAAAAAGCAGAAAAAGCTTCATGGTTTATTATCACTTCACATTTGCAGAACTAGAGGGAAGGTGGAATGATAGGCAAATCCATATACTTGAATGATTTTTGTTGGCTAAAATCACTACCTACTTTATTTGTGTATTCATTGCTTTCTAATGCACAAGGAGGGAGTTTCAGACTGGAAGCAGGTTACTTTCTGCCTGCCTCTCAGGAGGTGTTTGAGAAACACTGGGGTTAGTTCCAGGCTTCAGGGTGACCAGCCAGAAAACCAAGGTACTAATTCTCTTGTTTATTTATGCAGTGGTGTTAGCCACCTTCTGGTCCTGAAGCTGTGGGCGGCCACTCGGTGCCTGCTGGGGAAGCATCTTTCTACCACCAGCTCGCCTCATCCTGCTCTCCTGCAGAAGGTGTGCAGATTTGGCATTCATGGAGCCAGGTGGTCCAGAAAGAGTTCAATTGGTTTCTCTCTTATTCACTCCATTTTCTTCCCCCTCATCAAGGAGTTGGCATTTTTGGTGGCTGGCAATGTTAGGTTATGGTCCATCTATTTGATGACAAGGATAACTTTGTGGTCCGCTGGGAACTAACCTCTGCCACCCAGCCCCTGCCCTTCGATGACCTGTTCCCATGAGCAGAATTCTGAGGGCCAAGGGGAATGCTTTTTGGTCATAGAAATATGATCCTAGAGTTCTGAAAGTTTTCTCTTTGCTTTCCCATAAATTTGATCAGCAGTTTTGTGGAAAATGTTTCTTAATAATTTAATAATAATGATAGCTGCCATTCTTCCCTGAGGGCTTACTAAGTGCTAAGTAATTTGCATCAGTTTTAATCTTTTCCATAACCTGATGAGATGGATACTGGCATTATATCAGTTTTACAGCTGAGGAAACTGGCATTACAGAAAGCTTGGATATCTGACTGTTGTTATGTACCTGGTAAATGCTGGCCTTGGTGGGCAGTTTCACTTGCAAACCATGCCTTTAGCAACTTTGTGACTTAGCAACTGATGCACTAGATTCTTAGTATATAAGGAGATGCTTAGTATGAATAAAGTCACTAATATTTATTGAAGCCTCATGTGCCAGGAACTATTTTAAGCACTGTACATGGATTATCTCATGTAATGCTGACTTATACCCTATCAAGTAGATGCTGCTGCAATTATCACCATTTTACTGAGGAAATTTGAGGCTCAGAGAAGTTAAGCATCTTTCTCCGGGTCACAGAGGAGTTGAACCCTGGAGCGGGAATCCCACTCAACCTATCTGGCTCTGGAACCTACCGGTTTAACCAATACCCTATGTCCCTATAATACTGAAGGTCTTACCAAAGGGTGTTAGAGGGGCGCTACAGAAAACCTGGGACTCCTGTCTCAGACACACACTAAGAGTTCTGTATATCATCTGATGAAGTATTTTCCTGGTTAGTGGATAGAACAGAAGCCTCAGCCAGATAAGCCTGTTGGCAGTGATTCTGGCAGGCAGTCTGTGTCCTGCGGGGTTTGGCAAACTAGAAATGGGGCACCTCCTACTATTTGTGTGTTCTTGTCACCCCCACACACTTTGGACCACAGAGCTTTTCTAATTGATGTTCTTTTTGTCTCCCCAATCTCGTTCTCTGTTCAGCTCGAGGCTTTTTACTCTATCTGTACCACGGAGCAGCAAGACCACGTCAAGTCATTGGAGTATCTGAGAAATAACTTTCGACCACAGCAAGGTCTGAATGACAGGGTGGTGTCCAAGTCCGCTGTCCATGACGCCTGGAACCATGACATGACAGACTTCTTGGAAAACCCACTGGGGACAGAGGCCTCTAAAGGTATGTTTGGATAAAGTGCCATTGTCCTGAGGAAGATTCCTTATCATCAATTACTTTAAATTAAAAGGAGGTCTAATACCAGCCAAGAATTGGAACTTGGTGTTAAGAGCATAGGTTTCTCTGCTAAAGAGACTTGTCTAGATGATAAGTACAAGCAGTTGTGGGAATAACTTCAGTTAAATTGTTATGTTCAGAGTTGCCCTTTTCCCTATTAGGCATTCTCTCTGATTCTTTACTTTGTGACATCAACACTAGTTAGTGTATGTCTAAAGAAAGCTTTTGGGTGTCTTACTTTTTTATTCTTTCCCTGCTGAGATGAGGAGTTTACTTCTGAGCTCAAACATCAGGACCTTGGACTTGCTCCCAGTGCCCCGGTTTGCAACGTTCTTACCAACACCCTCCCCAGGCAAGGTCTCCACCTCTGGCTCTGCCCCCACTTGATACCGCGTGGCCTTTATAAACTGTCACTTAACAGTTTAATTTCCATATCTGATAAACATAAGTTTATAATTTTCAGGCACTTAATATTTTTCATTTCTAGTTTCTTACATGACATGAACATGAATTTTTCTCCCAGGAAACCGGAAAACCTGACTCCACACTAACAGCCCTCCTTTCAGGCTCTGTGATTTGTCATAATTGTGGCTTAGAGCTTGGGAAACAGGGAAAGGAATAAGCCTGATCCAAGTAGTAGAACGTGGAAGGCAGGAAGGAATAACAAGGTGTTTGTATGAGTCTCTCCCAAACCAGTGTCCTCCTTCAAAACTGTGATCTTGGATAATGAGGGGTGAGCTTGTGTTGTTTGTTAAACACTGGAATTTTTAGTATGGTGAGTTACATGGGAGGTTTTGCTTCAAGAGTGTCCCCACTCCCAATAAAATGGACCGGGTTACTGGCATATGACCTTTGTGGGAACGGGGGAATGAGATTCTGTTCCACAAATAACTGCATTGATGTGCACTTTGATGATAAGAATAAGCCTATTTTCCAGTCTCAAATATCTGAAAAGGAGCTAAAAAAAGAGGAAAGGAAGTTTAAGAATGTAATCATCTCCTTCCCGTCTGTGTGATTTTTGTTTGAGGTTTGTGAGGAGAACTACTCTGGCCGGTTCCATCAAGAACTCCTTGACATCCCAGTAATTTGGGGTGGACACTTTGTTAAGGGCATCATTTGTCAACATGGGATGAACACAGGGCTAAGAAGCACACAGACCTGTAAAATATCTTAGGTTGGGCTGGCATAGAAAACCCCACTTGGGCTAGTTTTTTTTAACCAAGCTAAAAATAAAACAAAACAACTGAACTTGAAAGCTTTCTCCCAAGAGAACTTGTTTGGGAAACAGGGGGCTCTTAGGGTCTGGCTATTTTGTGAGAGATGAACATAGAGGATGTGTGGAGGGTGAGGAATTTATGTCACAAGTGAGCACCAGATCTGGCAGGTCAGAACTGCTGAGGTTGTGACAGTCACAAAGTTCTTTCCTAAAAAACGGCTGAGGATACAGTATACATCAGCTGCACAAAGAGAATGTGTGGCCCTTATTACTCAAGAAAGTAAAGATAATGGTCCGTTACACTGTTGTTGAAGTGAGTAGAACCTCTGATGAAAGGGCTTTCTCCAAATTTGAGCAGAGCCATGGAGCCATCCTTAAATGTCGGGGTTCAGTTCTTTATTCTGTAGCATGGGTGGCGCAACGTGTTGTGCGGGGAGCGCCGCTGGTTGCTGCTCATTCCTGGTCTAGGCAACAGCTGCCTCTGGGGGGACGGAGCACATCCCGGGGAGCACAGCGCTCAGGGATCTGAAGGTTACCATCTGGGGCCAGCTGAGATGGGAGCGGGGACTCTGAATCCTGCGGAGCGGGTGGAGGGTGTCACAGATGGGGCAATAAGCACAAATCATCGCAAACACTTCTCCGTTTGCCAGGAGAGGGGATGTGGCACATCCCTCTAGTGAGGAAAACCCAGAATTCCTTTATCAAAGGCTTTTATTAAAAGGGTTATCAGTAGGGCTAGATAACAGGAAAGCACAGGTCATCTCATTACATCCCTATGTGAATGTTCACAGAGAATGGGTGATGCTTTGAAGAAAACAAATGGCAGGAACACACCAATTTACAAGGGTCCAAGAGGAGACTAGTAAACAAGAGAGACAACTAAACATGAAAGCATAGTAAACATAAGAGTGCCTAAGGGTATAAGGTTAGGGTCTGTGAATAATGTAAATTTCCTTCCCAGCACGAGCTGGCTAGAGCTTCTGAGGGAAGAACAAAGCACACTTTAAAGAATTTACTTTTAGGCCTGATTTCCCTGGGAACCGCCAGATCTGGTCTAGGACTGACTCCAGTATTGTTTCGAGCCTGAGCCAGGTGGGGCAGGGGATGGGCGGGGGGCAGCCAAGAGACAAGGAGACTTCTTTCGGATAGAATGAGGACTCCTGCCACGTCCAAGCCAAGCCGTGGGGTACGGGCCTTTTTGCCCTTTCTCCGTGTCCCCCAATTTCTTGTCTGCTACCCATACCCAATCGATACCTATCTTAGTTTATCTCTGTGTGAGATAATTTGCCCATCATGGATTATTGACCATCACAGGGCAAAGCAGAGAGGCAGGAGCGTAACAGTGGGGACAGGTTGTCTCCTAAGGGGCCTGTTTCTCCAGGACTTCCCTGATTATTTCCAGCCGTGGGGCCCTCCCACCTGTCGGTGGGGTTACAGTTCCTGAAACTAGACAGGGCGTTTCCCAACATTATTCCACAAGGTCTGTGGCAATTATCATGATGTCCATTACTGACTCCTAAGATGTGTAGATATTAAAATATTTTGTGATCTTTCTAGAGCAGAGAGAGATATAGGTGCGGTCTAATTTCTTTTTTAAATATAGTATGAGAGTATAACATAGAGAAAAGCATGCACATAATATGTGCACAACTTGATGAATTTTCACAAACTGAATACACTTGAGTAACAGACACACAGATCAGGAAGGTCACATCACCATCTTCCCAGGAGAACCTCCATCTCCCCGTTCCAGTCACAGACTGTTCCTAAGGGGTAACCATGGATGACCATGAATTAGCTTTGCTTGCTGTTTTGTTTCATATAAACAGAAACAGGATGTCCTGTTAGTGTCTTGCTGCTGTGCTCTTCTCTGAAAGTCATCTATGCGATAACATGTATTTGTAGTTCTTTTCTTTTTTTTAAAGATTTTATTTATTTATGTTCAGAGAAAGGGAAAGGGAAGGAGAAAGCGAGGGAAAGAAACATTGAAGAGTGAGGGAAACATTAGTCAGTTGCCTCTCACATGCCCCTAAATGGGAACTCAGCCCACAACCCAGGCATGTGCCCCTACAGGGTATTGAACCAGCGACCTCTTGGTTCGCAGGCCAGCGCTCAATCCACTGAGCCACACCAGCCAGGGCATATTTGCAGTTCTTTTTAATTGCTGAATTTCACTGTGTGATTCTACCTGAATTTATTATCCTTTTCAATAGACATGAATATATGGATTTATTTCCCCATTTTAGTGATTATGAAAATTCTTAAAAAATGTTTTATTGGTTATGCTATTACAGTTGTCCCAATTTTTCTCCCTTTGCCCCCCTCTACCGCTCACCCCCATTCCCTCCAACAGTCCCCCACTTAGTCCATTTCCATGAGTCATGCATGTAAGTTCTTTGGCTACTCCACTTCCTACACTGTTATTAACATCCCCCTGTCTATTCTGTACGTACCAATTTGTACCTCTTAATCCCTCCACCTTTTCCCCTTTCTCCCCCATCCCCCTCCCAACTAATAACCCTCTAAGTGTTCTCCATATCTATGATTCTGTTTCTGTTCCACTTGTTTGCTTAGTTTATTTTTTAGATTCAATTGTTGATAGTTGTGAATTTGTTGCCATTTTAATGTTCATAGTTTTGATCTTCTTTTTCTTAAATAAGTCAGTCCCTTTAACATTTCATATAATAATGGCTGGGTGATGATGAGCTACTTCAGCTTTTTCTTGTCTAGGAAGCACTTTATCTGCCCTTCCAGTCTAAATGATAGCTTCTCTAGATAGAATAATCTAGGCTATAGGTCCTTGCTTTTCATCACATTGGATACCCATTGCCAGTCCCTTCTAGTCTGCAACATTTCTTTTGAGAAATCACTTGATAGTTTTATAAAAACTCCTTTGTAGGTAACTCTCTGCTTTTCTCTTGCTGCTTTTAAGATTCTCCCTTTATCTTTTACCTTTGGCATTTTAATTATGGTATGTCTTGGTGTGGTCCTCTTTGCATCCATCTTGTTTGGGACTCTGTGCTTCCTGGACTTGTATGTGTATTTGCTTCACCAAATTAAGGATGTTTTCTTTCATAATTTTTTCAAATAAGTTTTCAATTTCTTTCTCTACTCCTCCCAGCACCCCTATGATTCAGATGTTGGCATGTTTGAAGTTGTCTTTTCCTCTTTTTTTTAAATTCTTTTTTGTTTTTGCTGTTCTGACTAAATGTTTTTTTTTCTTCCTTATGTTCCAAATCATTAATTTAATTTTTAGCTTCATCCACCCCACTGTTGGTTCCCTGTAATTTTTTTTCTTTTTTTTTTTTTTACTTGATCTTTATTGTATTTTTTTCCATTACCCTTTAGTCCCCTTATATAAATTTTTCTTTATTTCACTTAGTGTAACCTTCATTTCCGCCTTGGTCTTTTTTATGCTGTTGAAGTATACAGTGAGTTCCTTGAGCATCCTAATAATCTGTGTTTTGAAATCTGTGTCTGATGCTTATCTCCATTTTGTTTAGTTCTTTTTCTAGAGTTTTGTTCTGTTCTTTCATTTGGGCCATATTTCTTTGTGTCCTCATTTTGGCAGCCTCCGTGTGTCTATGTGTTAGGTAGAGTTGCTTTGACTCCCTGTTCAAATAGGAGCACAACCTGTTTTAGAAAAGTGCCCAGGTAAGTTGAATGGAGTGGAGCCTTAGATAATCGCCATTTGGGGGCAACCCATGTAAACCAGGTTGATGGAGTCTCA